ATCTATCTATCTATCTATCTATCTATCTATCTATCTATCTATCTATCCTCTCTCTGTTACAGTATCTATCTATCTATCTATCTATCTATCTATCCTCTCTCTGTTACAGTAGATACTCGTCTTCAAGCTCAACATCCACACTTTCTTATCACATTCCACCTAAAGCTGCATGAATTAGGACCTGGCCTGTTCCTCTCAGAGCTAACTGGCCAATAACACTCGGTTGGGTCCAGTCTTTCAGAACCAGCCCAGAAGATAAATGTCATATTTATACTCTGGATCTGCTCTGGTTTATTTTCAGGCTTCCAGCCAAAGAACCTGGCTAACACTTTTTAGCACAACTTGTTAGAACCGGGCTCTACTTCCCTCGTTAGCATCGTATGCTAGCACATAATCCATGTAAATGACTGGTGGTCTTGTTCCTTTTCGAGCTAAACTCTCTGGCTGAGTCCACAGATTCTCTTTTTCTCTCTCTGTTACAGTAGATACTCGTCTTCAAGCTCAACATCCACACTTTCTTATCACATTCCACCTAAACCTGCATGAATTAGGACCTGGCCTGTTCCTGTCAGAGCTAACTGGCCAATAACGCTCGGTTACGCCCAGCCATCTTTCCCTTTTTCCCCCCCCAAAAAAGTGACATTAACTGCATTTTCAGAACAAAATGGCCCACCTCTCACCTCTTATCCTCAGATATCATCGCCACGGTGGACAATGAGAAACCGTCCCCCTGTGCCCAGGCGGGAAACGGCCGGCGCTGCACCATAAACGGAACCGAGTGCCGGGCGGGGTGGCCGGGTCCAAACGGGGGAATTACTCACTTCGACAACCTGGGTTTCTCCATGCTCACCGTCTACCAGTGTATCACCACTCAGGGGTGGACGGACGTGCTCTACTGGGTAAGCTAATAGTCCAGGATATGACCCAGAAAAAGGTCTTGCTAATCAAGCAGAAAGCTGAGTAGTTACTAACAAATTGTCACAAAGGGTGGATCTTAAGGAGGACTCAGTCGCGGAGATTGGTAGTTCAAAAGGTTTATTTTAACAAAAACACACTCAAACGGAGTGGATGCTAACCCAGAAAAAGTTCAAAACAAGGCTGTGACAAAACTATGAACAAAGTAACAAAGCAAGGGTAACAAGACTATGAACACAAAGTATGAAATAAAGATTAACAAAACTTTGACAAAGTATCAAAACAAGACTATGGCCAAAATATCAAAGCAAGATTAAACATGACTGTGAAAAAACAGTAAGCAAGGCTATGGCATGGCTGTGACAAAATCATGGCTATGGCAAAGTGCAAAAAATAAAAACCTTACATGACGTTTGGAGACAAAGACGAAACACAAAAGACAAAACAACACACTGGCACAGGACATGGGAAACGAGGACTATTTAACTCATTGGCTGCCAAAGGTGTCTATAGACGTCTTTTATGTTTTTCAATGCGAGTGTCTGGGGGACGATCGGCGAAAGTTTTTCCGTAAATATCGGCTTCCAGACAGAGTATGTAGTAACAAATTGACCCTCTAGGGGGCAGTGCCACTTTTGATGGGAGATGAGCATAGACTGTAGGCAAATAGGAAAAAGGGAACGGTTCTATGAGAGAACATGTCGCCGGTGAGACGCACGTCGAAGAAGAATGGAATAAGGTAGAAACAATTTTTTTTCCTGATGAAAGAAGAGAGTCTACTCTTTCTTTTGGTGTGTTCGGTGTTTACATAGTCATAGCACAAACTATTCTGTGGCTCTGGAAAAATCAGTCAAAATGCTCAAAAAACTCTGGCAGTATGGGTCTCTGTTCTGAAAATGGCTGCCAGTCAATGAGTTAAACACATGAGGGAGGGGAACCCCAGGTGAACACAATAGGTAATAAAGACATGACGACACACCAGACATTCCCCCAGACGTGACACAAATGTTAGTAGTGATTGTAACTAATCTTTAGCTTTAGTTTGTCAGGAAGGGTGGATCTTGATGGAGGACTCAGGCGCGGAGATGAAGAAAACAGGGTTTATTGGGAACAAAAAACACTCAAAAGAGTGGAAGTCCAGACAAGGTACAAAAACAAGGCTGTGGCAAAACTGTGAAAAACATGACTATGGAACAAAAACGAGACTTTGGCATGGAGCGAAAGCAAAACCTGACGTGAAACTATGAGCAAAGTAACAAAGCAAGGTAACAAAACTGTGGCAAAGTATCAAAACAAGACTGTGGCAAAAGTACAAACGAGATTAACATGGCAGTGGTCAAACAAGGCTATGGCAAAGTAACAAAATAAAGATTAACAAAACTGTGGCAAGGCTGTGGGAAAACATGACTATGGAACAAAAACGAGACTTTGGCATGGAGTGAAAGCAAAACCTCACGTGAAACGGGGAGACGGAAGACGAAAGACACAAAACGAAAGACGCAATCGAATTAGCACAGGACATGGGAAACAGGACTATTTAAACACATGAGGGAGGGGAACCCCAGGTGAACACAATAGGTAATCAAGACAAGACGACGCACCAAACATTCCCCCAGACGGGACATAGTTTAAGTTTATGTGTCAGGATGTTTTACCTGAATATTCTTTGTGTGTTTGTCAAGTGGTTCTTGCTTTTTTGCCTGCGATGACATGCAGGTTTCCCCCACAGGATTTCACTCAGGCGCCAAACTTTATTCTTTCACTTCCATTTTTTATTTGAAGGTTTGTTAAACCACCAATATCACCAAGAATCATGACAGTTGTGCCAATAGGTGAAAAACCTTTAAACAAACACATAGATAAAGTATTAACATTGCAGTCATTTTACAATATTTCTATATCAAAACAATGTACGGCTCACCAGGTCCTTCCCTGTGGAACAAACTTCCTGCAGTCTTTTACCTCCCTTACAGCTTATTTCTTTTTGTGGGTGAACATCTCCCAGCTAATTATATCATTTTCTCCACCTGTAGTCTCCAGGTTGGGAAACACCCCCACCTAAACTCAGTGAGAAGGGCGGTGCTTGAATAATTTAACTCAACAGTGTTTGTTAGCAAGTGGAGGTTAACAGCAGGATGACACATTAAAGAAACACCCAGAGAGGCAGGAGGTTTCAAATCCAGTTCAATCTTTGTCCAGTTCTGGTTAATAGAAATTTCTAGGAATGATTATTGACTCATGTTTAAAGTTGGCAGGTTAAAGAATTATGGTTTCTCTGTTTCATATTAACATTATTTTCTCAACATCAAAAACATAGTGAAACAATTAATGTCAATATACTTCCAGAATACAGGATAAAAAAGTGTGTTCTGTATTTACCACAATTTTACTAACTTCCAGTCCTTGAAAATAAGGGTTGGAAACAGATCTATGTCTTTTAAAGTAAACACAGGATACTTGAGCTACAAATGAGTAGAGCATACTCAATGAATATCTTATTTTAATTAGTCAAATATTAAATATATTTAAACCAGTGAGCAGTTCTGATCTACATGTCATTAGGATCATCACCTTAGAAAGCCCTGGTTCTGACTAAAAAATAGTGTTCATTGCATGTATTGCATCGCATTGTTCCATTAAACTTGAAGCCTAATCTACAATAACAAAATAAAAAAAAATTGAATTGGTCAGATTCAATGTTGGTATTTTCCATGATATTGTTCAGAAAAAAAAACTCTGCTTTGCCTTTCACAGGTCAACGATGCAATCGGGATGGAATGGCCATGGATCTTTTTCACTACTCTGATCCTTGTTGGCTCTTTTTTCGTGCTTAACCTGGTTCTTGGTGTTCTCAGTGGGTAAGAATATCTAAACCTAACCAAACACAACCCAACAACCAACGGTATCTATATTTTTACCCCATTTAGTCAAGAATTATGTAGCCGAGCAAGATTGAAAGGATATATGATATTATTCAGACAAAGAAGCCCAGTCTATTATTGCCTCAGGTGTTATAAACTATTCCTACATTATTTATAAAAGAACCGGTTTCCCTCTGGAGGAAAATTCAGGCTTGGGACTGTAAGGATGCCACCTGTTCAACAATTAAAGTTATGAAACATCCTCACTCCTAAATATTCCAGTCAGCTGTCAGTGGAGTCGGAACAAAGTGGAAACAATTTGGATTTAATTTTGTTTTCTTCTGTAAACGGGTGAATTTCCCACAAGTGATTAATAAAATAATTCTGATTCTGATTACCCAGATCTCCCCAAACCTCCAGGTCTTTGGGGCGTCTACGGGAAAGAAATTGAAACCCAACTCTCGTTTTGAATTATAGCTGTTTAAGTCAAATACATTTCCTTATAAGGTCTAGATGAAAAGCTTCTGTTTCTATTTAATTTACAAAAGTTTGTTCTCTTCCACTGAGATCTCTTGTCTGATTGACTAATAGAGAGTTCACAAAAGAGCGCGAGAAGGCCAAATCCAGAGGAGAATTTCAGAAACTGAGGGAAACCCAGCAGCTGGATGAAGACCTCAAGGGCTACATGGAGTGGATATCGCAGGCCGAGGTCTTAGATAATGATCAAGAGAGACAAGGTAAGAACCAGGACTAAGGCAGTGTTTTTCAACCACTGTGCCTCGGCACACTAGTGTGCCGCGAGTGATGGTCAGGTGTGCCGTAGAAAATCATCCTATTTCACCTAATTGGTCTAAAAAGATTTTTTGATAAGGAATTAATTTTCTGCAAATAATTTTTGAGTGTCTGTGCTGTTCTAGTGACTGGTGGAGTAATCATGTAATAATTCCTTATGACTGGGTTTTGTATATAATTTTGCATATTGAAGTGGACATGTTAACGCAATTTGAAAGAAGAAATATAAAATGTGATAAAAATACATTTTTGTGTTTATTTGATTCCTATTCAAGACACTTAAGATAAGATAAGAATAAAATAAGAATAACTATAGTGTTACTATAGGCGGCTACAGATTTGTTTGACATTTTTGATTGGTGGTGTGCCTCGGGATTTTTTCAATGAAAAAATGTACCTCTGGTCAAAAAAGGTTGAAAAACACTGCACTAAGGGATCTATTTCATTCTTTGTTTGGGACAACTAGCCCACTTCTTTTGGTGCAACATGGCTTTATCCCTATTAAAGGCACATTAACATTTTTCCTCAGGCTTGCTGACGATGGAGAATGGAGGCTCTGATACTGGAAGTGTTGGCAAAATGGACACCATGCAGCTGATCATCCACTACTAGTCAGTAGGCACATTGACATGTGAACGATTGGACTTAAACATGTTGTTGACCAAAAATATTGTAATTTGGCATACAAACAACATGGACAGACTCCAGTTCTATTTCAGTTAACTTTACAAAGAAAAGCAAAGTAAACTGAACAGCAATATGCAGATTTGTACCTGTAAAGGAAGTCCAAATAATCAGTGGAGGATTATCATGTGAATGATTCTAAGGTAAATCTCTTGTATAAAATTAAATAAAATATTTTTTAGCCAATAGGCTACAATATACAGCATACCAGAATGGTAAACGTCCAGCCCCCGGGAGGAGCCATGGCTAAAAACCTGGAAATATCCAATCTACCATTTATTAGTCCAGACATAAAGCATCAAAAGTACTTAATCAATCTTTGTGAATCCAGTTCTGCATGTCTTATATATTTATTCTCACAAAAACATACACACACATCAGGTCAGAGTTTTGATTGTATTCCATTAAATTGGGGAACATATTTTGGCTGCCAGCATCTACCAGCCTATCAGGATATTTGCCCCTATGGAATTGTTCTAAATTTAAGGCCAATCTTGTTTTTCATTATGGAATAATCCATATATATATACTCAAATACTGAAAAACCACGATTCAATTCAATTCAACTCAATTTTATTTATATAGCGCCACATCACAACAACAGTTATTTATCTTTCCAAACAGAGCAGGTCAGACCTACTCTGAAGTTTATGTTTATGTTTATGTTTATGCATTTGGCAGACGCTTTTATCCAAAGCGACTTACAGAGTAGACACAGAAATAATTACACAGTTAATTACAGAAACCCAACAATTCCCACCATGAGCAGCACTAGGCGACACAGGCAAGGAAAAACTTCCTTTAACAGGCAGAACCCTGGAGCAGAACCATGGCTCAGGGTGGGCGGCCATTTGCCATCAAGATAATCTAAGGCTCATTAGGCCCAGTGAGTTTCGTCACCTCGTCTCTCATCATCGTATCTATGACCTTACTGAGCCTGAGCTTGTCTTGAACCTAGCCTTGCCTTGCCCCCCGTTTATGCCTCCCAAGGAGTGGATGACACTTTCAAAATAAACCAGGATGTGACAATTGAATTGAATTGAATATACTTTATTGATCTCCAGGGAGAAATTGACTTCCAGTACAGCCCGTACCAAGATCGAACAAACAAAAACACACAGACACACCAGTTCGGGAAGACTGAGGGCAGCCACACAGGAGGGCGCACCATTTTTCTTCAGAACAAAAAGAATACATTGGGAAAGCGGTTGGAGGAAGAGGGGAAAAAAAGGCCCAGTGCCACGCCCCCTACAGGGGACGTAACTGATTTTTTTTAAAAACACCTCAGTACACTAAAGCACAGATACCGTCAAATCACAACATCAAGGACACATAGGGAGGGAGGGAAGGGGAAAGGTAACAGCAGGCAGTGAGTCCAAGGAATGCATGAAGTCTGTATTTGTGTGTGTGCAAGTGTAAGCAAGCTGGAGTCCACATCCACAGGCTAGATGGAATTTGTCCTGCTTGGGAGGAGAGAGGGGGGTAGGGTGGGCAAAGCGTCCACATCATGGAGACAGGAAAAAACACCAAAAACTCCCCCAGACGTGACACTCACCAGTTCATCCTAATTTCTCTATGCTCCCTTTGTCATTCTCTATCTCTCTCTCTCTCTCTCTCTCTCTCTCTCTCTCTCTCTCTCTCTCT